CAAGCACTTCTCCTTCTCCCGGGGCTGAGCATCTCCTCCGAAGGGCTCTGTGCGTGCTCCTCGGGGCTCTCGGTGGGACGCCGGCGCGGGGCCCGGCAGGCCCGGCCGGGGGCAGCCCCCAGCAGCCCGGTGCTGGCTCGGCCCGGCCGGGGCAGCCCCCAGCAGCCCGGTGCTGGCTCGGCCCGGCCGGGGCAGCCCCCAGCAGCCCGGTGCTGGCTCACCCCGGCCGGGAGCAGCCCCCAGCAGCCCGGTGCTGGCTCGGCCCGGCCGGGAGCAGCAGCCGTGCCTGGCGCTGCGGGCCCGGCAGCCGCAGATGTCCGTGCCGGGCCGGGGCTGGGCCGGCTCGCCGCAGGGACACCCAGCTTGCAGGGGGTGCAGTTGCTGTCTATGAATATATCGGGTGGTGGGTGGCCAGGGGTCAGGAAGGGACGCTGGGTGGGGGAAATTAAGTGAAAGGACAATGTTGACACAGAACAAATGATGCTAAATGGCTTGTGAAAATAGATCCATTAAGGGAATGATATTCTGCAACAGCCTTTAAATACAAATAGGGGAGACAAATGGCCTTTAAATACAAACAGAGGAGACTTGGTCGGTTTGAGAAACCAAAGGCTGAACCCTGTGGTGAATGACTGCATTTGCTGGTCGTGTCGTGCTCCACTTCCCTTGGAAGAGTCTCCTTCGTGTCAATGAGACCAATCTGCTGCATTTTTTCCTCTCAAGGGCTAACACATTCCAAACACTTCTCTGGTCATCTCTGATCAGAAATTGCTGAGTCTGTGATGAGTGTAGCATGTACCTCATCATATGGTAAAGAGGGACCAAGGCTGCACAAGCAGGGAACAGTCTGCTAAGGCATGAAAGAGTGCTCTCTCTCTCTCCCCTGTGAAAGCCAAGGGAATGTGGTCCCACTGACCTGGTCAAACTTGGGCAATGGAGATGTCACCTCCTAAGTGTACTTGTAAGGAAGCTCTTAGGAGACATCATGGTGGTTGTTGCTGCTCAGGCACCACAGCTGATGCTCAGGTTGCTCAGTTATTTCATCCCAGGAGCAGATGTCCCGAGGCTGTGACAGAGGAGCTCTGTTGCTTTCAGCTTCCTTCCAGCTCATGCAAGCTTCTGTGGGGTCCTTCCCCTTTTTCCTACTGCCATACTTGTAAAGAAAAGCAGAGCATCAAAGCAGGACAGAGGGGCTGCCATCTCCCCAGGACTGTGGACAAAATGGCTCAGCTGACTTTTGGGTGTCTTGGGAAGGTGCAGTATCACCTCCAGTGCTGTGTCCTGCTACCTCAACAGCTCTGCAGTGCACAGAGAAGTGTGACAGGAAACAGCTGAACACTGCAACAGGATACAGCTTTTGTGTGACTGGCTGTGCTTTGGGGCAATGCCAGCAGTTAACTTTGTACTTGCAGTCCTATCATGGCATGAAGCACATCCATTTAAACATGGGACCACAGACCTGCAGCACAAGTGTTAAGAAACAGGCAGGCACAGGCCTGCTGACACCACCTCAAACAGGGCTCAGGCTGATGTCGGCCTCTGGAGGGGTCGACACAGGGGACATTAACTTTCTGTCTCAGAAGGTCTGTGGTCCATGCAAGTGCACTTGGTTTGTGTTTGGCTGGCCCTTCCCACCCTGAAGGAAGTCAGTTCCCTAGAAAGCCCTAGGCTGAAAGTCATGCCCAGAGTCGCTCAGGGAGGAGACATTGGCTGGTGGCACGTTTAGTCTGGTGTTGTAACAGGAGGAGTGAACATCACCTGCATTTCTGCTCTTGCAAATCAAATTTGTTAAGATTGGTCATAAAAATAAAGTCTCTTTTCTGAGAACATTTCGTTGGAAATCTTCACACCATGCCAAGGAATGTCATTCCTCATGGCTATAAGATGAAAATCTACAATTATGTAGCATTTATGCAGAATAGAACTATGGATACCTTACATGTGACAGATAATATCTGTGAGCATTCCAGGCTCACTAGCAGCAAATAGCCTTTTTTTTTTTTTTTTTCTAAAGCTTTTCTTTCTGTCATTATCTGGATAGACTCTCAAAAGGAGTACAAGGGGGAATTCACTCACTAGCCAAAGCAAATTTTTCCTCGAAACAGCCACAGCTGAACAATAAGGCCGCCGTTCAGGAAAATTCATTTGATCAGGACACCTACTTCTGAGGAAAAAAAATATCCTTCATTACCAGGAACTTTGACCCAGAAGAGAAAACCAGGAAGGGAAAGCCAAATTCCCCTTAGAATATGGTAAAGATTTAGTAGGGAGAGAAACCACCATTCAAACAAACTACTGAGGGCAACAGTGATTTTCCAGCTCCTGAGGTCTTCAAATCAAGACCAGATCCCTTCTGAAGGGTAAATTACACCACTCCTCTTAGGAGGAACCAGCTGTAGCTCCTGAAACTATACCATGGGACAGAGGGGATGACTCTAGCCCTGAGCGAGCGCTGCCTTGCAGACAGAGCCAGCAGTTGCAGGGTGGGAGCATGGTGTGCCTGGTGTGTGTCCCTGAGCCTGGCAGAGAGGAGAGCTCAGGAGAGCCTTCCGAAGACAGACCTGCCAGGGAGCAGCAGCCCCAACTCACAGCTCAGCAGGTGAGCTTCACTTTGCCTCCTACCACCTTCCTCCCCCTGGCTCTAGTGAGCCACCTCTCCCAGTCAAGCAGGACCAGTGTTCCCCAACAACAACCAAAAATTTTGGAAGGAGGGCAAAGCCTGCAGAAATCTGCACTTTAACTGCTGCTGTTCTCTCTTTGCCTGAAGTAAGCTGACTCGCCCTGAGCACGCTCTGCAGCTGGCAAGCTCCCCATGGCCGGCACCGCCACAAGGAGGGAGCACACAGGTCTCCTGCCATCGCAGAGATGGGGCCCTCACACTCCTCACTGTCTGTATGAGAGCAACAAACAAGGGGGTCTTGGCAGGGCTGCCAGAGCCACCTCTTTCCATCCTTGCTTCTGTGAATTTTCCCAAAGGTTTCAAGGGTGCCCTGCATTTGCTGTTCTCTGTCGGCTTTGTCACATTGCCTGCTCCCCAAGTCTCAGGCTGCCAGTGTCTCTCCCCTGGATGACTTGGCTTGTGTTATTTTGTGTTAAAACCGATATGTTTTTTTAATGGCTATAAATAAGTTAAAACTGCATCTTTAATTAATCACTGCACTTTATAGTGTAAGTGGAGATTTTTTGTAATGATTTATGATTTTAAGATGCCATTTGCTCACTGTCAAATGTATCCAGCTTTTCTTCTATGTTTAACAAGTTCAGGATAGAAAAAAAAATTTCATCATTGAGGTATTGAATCCATTTAGTCTAGAGCAAATAATTGGTAATTAAGTAAGTGGAAAGAGATTGAGTGAATATTTTTATCTAAGCAACAATGAACCTGAGACACTAGTCAGTATGTTCATCATCTTAAAACATTTTCAATTAATCTTAATATGTTTATTTTTCACTGACACAGGTTTGAAACTGGAAATACATATGTCTGGATGACTAAAACACGAACAACAAATAGGAGCAGCAGCATGTAAAGTATAGAGAAGTAGAAGCATTAATAGAAATATTAACGCTATAGCAGCTATTAATTGATTTTTTTTTTTTTACAGTTTGGAAGAAGAACCCATATGTTTATAGGATTTTTTCCCCCCAATTAAAATATTTGTGTATGAGTGTGTATTTCTCTAAATATTATTTAGCTCCACACACAGAGGGCCTCATGTATAAAATTCTCTCCCAGTGAAGTGAGAGCTCCTTCTTCTTTAGTTTCTTGTCCTGCTGTCAGGCAGAAAGGACAGACACCCAATCCAACACCATCAGCACCTTCACAGCACCTGCAGGAGCAGTTTTCAAGGCCAGTTTGTGCCCTCTGTCACCTCCCATGCCTGTGAAGGCCAGGAGAGCCCAAGCCTCGGGCCATCTACCAGCAAAAGAGTGCCCAGAGTTCAGAGCAGAGGCAGCAGAGCCAGGCACCAGATCTGGCCGTGCCAGCCAAGCACTCCCGTGGGAAGGGCACAGGCAGCCCAGGCAGGACCCCTCAGATGTGAGTGCAGGGACAGCAGCTGTGCACCCCAGTGAACAGCACTCCACAAAGGCTGCTGTGCACAGCTTCAGGGGCCTGGACATTCCCGAGCACACAGAAAGATGCTTGGTTTTACCTGGTCTCGGATTAAACACAAGGGCACGCAGGTGGCTGGGTACACAAGGATATGGCTATTCCTGCACTGCCCCTTATTTTTTTTCTCAAGACAGCACATAGATATTTTATATAGGATAAAAATAAGCCACCAAAAAAGGAAGAACTATTGTATTGGAACTGTAGAAAAAATTAAAAATGCTTTTAAAAATTGCTCTACCTCAATTCCTAGACAACTCAAGTCTGACGTGCAGTGTATGATTTGTCTGCTAGGACTGAATCCAGATACTTACCACTTTGTTAGCTTAAGAATTTTGAGCAATTTTTTCCATTTATCTGTATTCTCCCAAAAAACATTTCACACATTTCTCAGATACATCAATCCTTCCGGCATTCCTCTACGCACTCAGTAGGATGCCCTGCTATAAATATAATAAAGCCTTTTATTATGTCCATTAACCATGGACATGTGTGCTCCAAAAGTTTCCTGACACGCAGTCATTTGTGGCTTTTTAATTATAAACAGAAAAAAATCTACCATTGAAAGAAGACAGCAGACTGGAAGTGGATCTTTATGTGTGTGTTTTGAGTATATTCTCTGACAGGCTGAAGGCACCCCACCCTCCTTCTGACCCCACCAGAAACGCCCTGTGCAGGCACCTACGTGTGCAGAGAAAGCCACTAACACAACAGGTTAGTCCTGGTTGTACACCATTTGTCACCTGTGCCAGCTCCAGGGGACTGACGCAGGTTTTCAAGACCCAACAATATCAATCAAACCTTTTTTCAGCAGGCAAAAATATGCCCCCTCCATCTTGCAGACCTTGTTCCACTTGAACTCAGGAGAAAAGAAAAAAGGCCCAGTAAATTACTTGACAAATTAAGTCATATTTATTGAATGCGTTTTATTTCAACAACCAAAAAATTCTAACAGCCTAACAATGCACATAAGTTAAAAATTAATTATCACTTAGTGATAACGAAGATAAAGTTGATTTACATGGAAAAATGAACATTTACAATATGTTAATCCTTATTCACATTGTTGATACCGCAATAAAACACAATTTGTTTTTTTTATTTTTTATTTCACAAAAAAGGCGGAAAATTGTGCTTTGTTAAGAGGCACTACAAGAAAAGTTTCTTTCTCCAAATAGATATTATATGATGGATATTGAATAAATAGACATATATGCATTGTAATTCGCAAAGTTCTGGCAAGACCACAGGCTAAAATGCCCACAGATTCACTTAGAACCACTGCAAAATTGGCAGTGAAATTAAAAATAAAAAGGCAAGACTCAGCATTGAAAAAATACCTAATAAAATTTTTGGTTGAAGTGTAAAAGATACCAAATGTCGATGCCATCATCAGATGAACAACTTACATAGCTTGGCAAAATTCAGTTTCCTTTCAAATGTATGGAGTGACTTCAGCTACAGGATAAGAAGACAGTTTTGAAAGCGTAGCTCTGAGAGAAACATAAAGCAGCAACCATCGAAATTCTGATTAAAGCTGCAGCATACTACAGAACTAAAGGATGAAGAGCAAAAGGGGCATTAAGTAAGCAACCCACCATAATTTTGCAAAGGTATATGAAATTTATGCAGAGATACTCATGTTTCAAACATTAGCTCTGAAAAAATCTCATAAAAACTCCAGAGGTTACTGAGCAGCTAGAATTAGCTTGTATTGCAACGTCTTCTCCCTGTATATTGTCTGTTCTGAGTAAATATCTACACGTAGAGGTTTGTTTTTCATTTTTAACTCCTACCTTTTATACCTTTCAAATATATAAATAGTATTAACAGTTATATTACATTGCCTGGTGTAGTAAACAGAAAGTAACTTTCAAAGTGATATTGCATGAGGTCTTTGTCAAGATTACATGAAAAGCCCATGTGAAAAAAGGAAGAAAAAAGCCAGAAGCCTCGTTGGTACCGTTATGGCTGCAGTTTACAGGCGTCTGAAATCAATCCAGCTGCAAGGTGAGGTCTTTGTCTCGGAAACCATCGCACGGAAGTGAAGAGTAAATGCTACTTGGCGTCTCTCTCACAGGGTGCCTCGGAGCGGGTGGATGCTATGGCAGATCGCAGCTTTAGTGTCAGGCCATGGGAGAGTCAGTCAGGACAGGCTCCGCTCTGTGCAGGGCTGGCCGGGCCCGCAGGACAGGAGTGAAAACTCTTCATTGAGTGGCACGGAACGCGAGGAAGCCCAGCCACAACACAAACACGGGGAGGCTGCGAAGAGGGCGAGTGGGAAGCCAGCAATGCAAACCCTTGGGCTGTCAGCAATTTACCTGGCCAGGATTCTCGGGATTGTGGCATTTTGTGTCGCAATGGAACTTTATATGCGTGCGTGTGTGTGTGTGTTTCACTTCAGTGGGAACAAAAAGCAACAACAATAAGAAAGCTTATAAATTTTAAGATCTGAAACAGAGAACAGGTAAATAAAATCCACGGTAAAATGTGGCTGGTAGTATGAATTCCATACATCAAATCTCAACGCATTTATCTTTTTTCTCTTTCTATAAAGACCTCGTTAATGGACAAGTCTTCTGTGCACTGCATTTCAGCTTAAGTCATTCTGAATCCCATGAAAACTCATCTGTTCACTACAGGAAGGACTATCTGGAGAGTGGAACATGCTGCATCCTTTTAAGTGTGCATTGTGTTCAAAGTACTTTTAACTTACTAGTTTTCTTTTTAAGGTGCCCTGATTTGTTTTTCTATTTTCTCTCTTTTTTCCTATTTTCTTTTTTTGGCAGTGTTGATTTACATCTTTAAATACCTCAAATATTACCCATCAAGTTGCCAGATAGGAAGCCATATAATAATGAAAAAAAAAAAAAATCAGGGATAAACATAGAAAATAAATAGGAATTAAAAAATAGTCACCACACCCTGAGAGCAGGCGGCCATTCATCAAAAAGCCAAAGCAACTCATTGTGAAGTGGTTTTAAAACATAAACAAGTCTCATCTTTAAAGAACTCATTTCACAGTCTATACTTTCAGGTTGTAAAGTTCAGTCCCATGCAATTTAATATATATATATATATATTATGTAAATATATATATACACACACAAAGTTTTAAATTTCCCTTCACTGATTTCATAGGACTTTTTCTTCCCATTTACTTGCTAGCTGTCCCTTTCGTAAGTGCAAGATTGATGAAGGCATAATCCTATGTGACTACAATTGCTTCATTCAGATGTAGAAAGTGTAACACTCGAGTGTCTGTGTCAAGGCGATGTCTGATCGGGCAACGCTGAATTCATTCGGTTTGCACATGGATCATGCGCAACGGAAACAAACAAACAAAAAGTAAAACGAGGGAAAAAAATCAAAAATAAAACCAGAAAATCCTTGGATCAATGTATTGCTTTCTGCACTCCTATCTCACATTATCTCTGGTCGATGTCTGCTGGAGCCCCCTTGCTTTTGTCGGGATTCTCCTCCTCGGCCTCCACTTTGTACATCTCCTCAGAGCCTTCCTCACTGTCGTTCTCCTCCGACTCCGTCAGCAGCTCCTCATCCTTATACTCTGCCACGTCAACCACTGTTCCCAAGTGCTCCTTTAGCTTCCCGTGGTGCTTTACGTGGTAACGCTGGTTCTGGAAGAATTTGATGATGGTGTGTTTGGGGAGATCCAGCTGAGCAGACAGGGTGTGGATGGCTTCCTGATCTGGGTACAGACCCACGTCGTGAATAAAGCTTTGAAGGATACCTAGAGCTTCCAAGGAGATCTTGGTACGGGATCTTGGCTTTTTGGCACAACTGTCCTCAGCAGGTGGAGGAGGAGCCTCTTCTCTAGGTGGGGAATTCTCCTTGGCAGGCTGGGACTGCTGTCTGTGCAGCACCTATAAGATCAAACAGATACACACTTCACATGCTGACCCCCTCAGTGCTTGCCATAAAGGGCACTTACACAGATCTGTACACAGGATCTACTTTGTTTTGGTCAAGAAAAGTACAATATTCATTGTCCACTGCCCTTCTCACCTGTAAGACAGCTACACCTGTCTGTACAACTACAGACTGAAAGGAGGAAGTGATATAAAAGGCAAATGATATAAAATAAATCTACAAAATAAATAAGAAATACAAAATATGAATAATAAAAAGAAATCTAAAGTAGCCAAAATAAAAATTAGGTCAAAAGGTATTATAGTCTCACTGTCATGATGATTGGCCAGGTGTCCCACCTCAGAAAAGTCATTCTCCTGCTTTGCTCCTCTTCTCCCCATCCTTGCTTCCTCTTATCTTTTCAGGCTAGATACTTTGACCATTTCTTCAAGAGTTCAAGTACTACAAAGGTCTATGCACATGTGGGATTGTCAGGTGCTACTTTAGGAATAATGATTTTGCATTAAAATCCATCACAGCTACTTTATGGAAGAAAAAAAAAATAGTAGAAGTGCAGAGATTTGTTAAGATTTCCCTTCTCTCAAGAAAGACAGCAAAGTCAATTCAGTTGCTTGACATAGGTGGCTTTAATGTGTCTCCTGAACAGATTTCTCTGTATTACATCTGTAGTAATTTCACTAGTTGAGGAGTTCTGAGTTCAAATAATAATAGCCCTCCATTCTGAGACACCCTCGGGCAAACACACTTTGCAGTCTTGTAACAGATTTTCACCCACAGTATCTCCGTTTCGGCAAGTTTAAAGAAAGCATATGCAGCTCTTAATCTTCCTAACAGCCACTTAAAATTACTAAGAAAGGACCTCGTGCAGCCCTTATTCCAGGGGAAAAAATACCTGCTCTGAATTGTTCAAAACACAGAGGAGCTCCATACGCTTTCTTTAAAACCAAATCTATACAAGGGAGATTAACAGAAAAAATCCCCTACAGGATTGAGGGCTGTATTTGCCCAGAGGTTTCTTCAGATGCAGGGAAATAATTATTAGAGCTTGACACTCAAAGCTAACAAAATCAATATGGATAACTATTTTCTCTCACAAGTAAGAGGGAATTCTGGCTCTTTATCCAAGAAGAAAATGTCTTTGTTGCAAACTGTAACATCCAGATTCAAGCCGACATTAAAGCTCTCTTAAAACAAAACAAAACAAAAAATAAAAAAGAAGAAAGAAAGCAAAACGAGGATAAATAATGGAAATGTGCTGAGAACTTGCACTAAATTTTACACACATACCAAGCCCCCAGTAAAATACTACACTAGTCAAGTTATTACTGCAAGAGGGAAGTCCACTGTGGAATATCAGCCTGTTATGCAAATAGATGAAAAGGCTCTGTGCCGAAGAGCCCTTTATTAATTTCCTTCATCAGATGTTCCTGCCATGACAATCTGTAACATCAGCGATCTCCAGCCGCAGCTCTCGGGAAGCCGCCCGCAGTCCCCGGGCGCGGCCGAGGGGCTGAGCCTGCCGGGGGCAGCTGGCCGGGCTCTGCTCCCGCTCAGCTCCCGGCACCAGCTCCGGGGCCCCGGCCGGGCCGAGTGCAGGGACACACGGCGCGTCCTGCTGCTGGCAGCGCACAGCCGGGCCGGGACAGCGGCAGCAACAGCCCGGCAAGGAGCAGCTCCGCACCGACAGCCAAGAGCAGGTGCCAGCACAGGACTTGCCGCCCACGGGCAAGAGCTGAGGCTGGGCAGAAACACTGCAAACTTCTTTCGGTGCCAGCACGAACATTTTTCTCCTAAGCACGTAAATACTGAGGGTGCCATAGAAATGGCTAACCAAGGAGCGGGGGAAAAGGGGGAGCTCAAATGGAAATGACAGATAATCTGGTTTATGTTTTATTACATCTCTTGCAATAAAAGAGCATAATGTTCCAATGAATGGAATCGCTCAGCTGCTCTTTGAGGATTTCTTTTTTGTCCATGGATTGCTTTCAAAGAGAAGGGCTGACGTTTCCAAATAGAGGGTTACAGATGAGGGTGGGATCCGTACCTACGTCAGCAGGGAGCACTGAAAGCAGCAGAGCCAGGATCTCTGGCTCTAGCCAGGGATCAAGCCCCATAAATTTGTCACACAGACCCCACCTAGTCTCCCCTGTTGCGGCTTCTGGTCCTGTCCCCTGACAAAGTAAGGCCCAGAGCAGCCAAAATCAAAAGGATTTAACACTGCAAATAAGCTGCCAGGGAACTTACAGATAGCGTCACACAGAAAGCTGCAAGTAGCATTGCTAATCAGAAGCTGGATTCAAGTAGCATCTAACAGAGATAGAAACACATCCAGAAAGGGTGCGAATTACTCAGTTAATCCTTGCTGGAGCTGGAAGGGGGCTTTTTTTTTCCCTTTTCAGTTGACAAATAGCATGAGAAATGATCCAGCTTGAAAAATGCTACAAGACTTCCAATCAAATATAATGATGAAAAAAATCCAACAATACGGGATCAGCAGCAGTAAAATGTTTAATTTGAAGGAGATGAAGAGATGCCTACAGCATCTATAAAGCAATCAACCAAAGAGAGGGCTGAGTGAGGGAGGGAAGAATAATTTCAATTAACCCTTCCTTTTCCAGAGTGACCTCTCCACCTTCTCCAAAAGGAGAAATGGGGGTTATCAGTGTAACATACTAGAAAAAGGTTGTATTTTATTTTACCTCCTGTTATCTTAGGTACTGAAAAAAACTAAATCTGCTCTTATAACAGATAAATTTCATTATGTAACTAACTTCTGGGGGGGATCTCCTCTGGATTGCCAGTAGCACTAACAAAGGATTTCAGCCACACTGCGTTTTTCAGCAATAGAACTTTAGCCATATACACAGAGATGGATAAATGCACAGGATGTCCTTCAGACCTGGGCTGTGGTCAGTTTTGCAGTTCCTTCTGACAGGACAGGCTATTTAGCACAAAAGAGAACACTCTTCTATGCAAATCAGATCAACTGCTGAGCACACGGTACAATATGAAGTCTAAATTACCTTTATGTTAAGTATTTGCTTTAAATTACACTTGACTGATGAGAATGCTGGCCAGTTTGAGTGATTGGCTTACTTCATGTCTGGCTCTGCATGCCACAGCCTCATAGAGGACATGGACCATTCTTGGAGTTCCAGATTTTCAGTTCTTGAGTCATTATTAAGCTCCTACATCTGCAGGTAAAATTTCCATCAGTTTCACACAGTCCTGTGCACACCCTGCCACATCTCTTTGGGTTTCTGGTCAGTGCTGCTCTGCCTCTGCACTGCCAAATCCCTGATCCTCCGTGCACAGGGCGCAGTGCATTCCTCAGCGCAGGTGAACCCCCAGTGGTGGCTGGACCTACCACAAAGCACCATGTACATGATGGGCTTCTGAGATAAGAGATAACACCAATGGCCCCACTCAGCTTTCCTTTTCCCAGGAAAGCTGGTGCTGAGCTCAGAAGGGTGCACTTTGTGACAAAGATGCCCTATACCCCCCTTCTCCACTCCCACGTCCATCCCACATGCCCTTCTCCATTGCTCCCCAGGCACAGGTGGGACAGCCTCGTCCTCCTCCACAGCCAGCACCATCTGGAGCTGACTTCCCTTCCCCTTCCTGACTTCTCATCTACTTTCAAATCAAATATGAAGATACAGATTTCCTTCCATGCCCAGAGGATTTATTATTTTCATTCCTTTAAGAGATTTAATGCTTGAACTCTACAGACAGGCATGGCTGCCTTTCAACGTTTCAGAACAAAGTACCTCTGGCACACGCTGCTTCATGAAGGTTCATTAAGGTAGACTTTCTCCTCACAGACAAACTTACCTTTCTGAAACAAATTCACCAGCCCTGGTAGAAAACTTACAAGAAAATTACTGTGATGGAAGTTGACTTTAAATGATAAAGTGACTGGTCTTAGATCGCACTGTACTGAAATACGATTTGAAGGCCACAATGAAAAGCAGCTGGAAGCCATGTGTAAAATATAATAGTACATGCCTACAGGGAAGGAAGTGAGATATTGAATGATTAAATTTAGGAGAGTATATAATGTAGTGTATCATTACGGGAGTGATCAGGATTATTTGTAATAAGCTAAGGGTTTGTGGTCTATCTAAAATCCAAAGCCAGGAATTATCAGGGGGAAGGGATTGTTGCACTGTTTTACACGTATCTACTCCCCATGTCTCCATGTGCTCCCACAGGAGAAACCTGATTTCGGCATTCCCACAGAAAAGAGAGGTGAGCGAACCCAACTGTAAGATGAACGTCAAGTAATTGCAGTCTGTGCCTGTACTGCATTTAATTTTGGCTGGATTCACTATGCCACTGATGTTTGTTTCCATTTCCACCCACTTTCTAGCTAGAACTACACATGTGACATTGGTGAGAGGCTAAGGGAGCCAAGCAGGATGCTCGAGCGGGGAACACACACACACACTCGGGCACCACCAGCAGTGAGGCACCAGCTGAAAACACTGGCTCTGGGACACGTCACCCTCCCTTGCCTGGACAGCCTTTTGAGCACACTGGAATCAGGAACTGCATTTCTATGTGAAAACACCAAGCTCTTTTGTTTCCTAGTGTGATTCTGCCCTTCCCTTTGCAGAGAGCTCCCTTCTGCTGGGATTTGCTGAGATGATGAGGTGCCCCTTGCTAAGAGAAACACCAAAAATGTTACATGCTTGTAAGACTGTGCATTTGCAACAGAAACTGCCCTTGCTGAACAGACACCACCTGCCTCTTTGCACAGTTAGCGTGAGCACTGACAGGTACCTTGATGGTATGTGTTAGTCAATATCAATTTTGATAACCTGAACTCACAAGAAGCAAAGTTGAATGGACTGACCTTCTCTTTGCCAGAGGAGGTTTAGATTCGATATTAGTAAAAGGGTTGCAAAGAATTGGAACAAGCTACTCAGGGAAGTGGTGGAGTCACCATCCCTAGAGATACTTAAAATATGTGTAGATGTGGCACTTAGAG